GCCGGAAGGTTAGTGGACGCCAATAACGTCGGATTGTAAAGGCAAAATAGTACCTAAACTCGGTAGGACTATAACGTAGTAAGATTATGCAGTCTGACAAGAGTTAGAGGTAAATCTGCTCCAGCTAGGACAGCTCGTTATATTCCCGGTCAATTTCTATGTGTTTTCACTCACCATTCCAGGTAGGAATAGCATAGGCGCAAATAGAATTATTTTTCACGTTTGCCGCAAAAGTAAAAGCCATCATTCATTAAGAAAGAGAAACTGAATGAGTAGAGGAAAAAAATTCGGAAAAATTAAATATTTTTCACTGCATCATGACCTACAAGGTTCTATTTTCTAGCTCAAGGTCATGAGAAAAAATTTCAGCTCGATAGATAGGCGAGAAATTTTGTGGAATCGAGATCACAGGAAAATGACGAGGCATGAATACTGCATGATGAAGCATGAACACTGAATACTGAGGCATGATCACTTCATGACGAGGCATGAACACTGCATGATGGAAGATGGCAGGGGGCAAGGGGGTAGGCAAGGCAGAAGGGAGGGAGAGGCAAGGCAGGGCAGAGGTTGCTAGGGTGAAGGACCTCTGAAGGCCGCGGATAATTCTGCACCTCCTGTACCCCTCCTGCATCTTCTGCTTCTCCTGGCCCTCCTACAACTACTGCACCTGCTGCCTCCCTCTTCCTGCACCTCATCACTGTTTGGCGCCTGTTCCTACCCGGGACTGTTTGGCGCCTGTTCTTAGCTGGGACTGTTTGGCGCCTGCTCTTAGCTGGGACTGTTTGGCGCCTGCTCTTAGCTGGGACTGATTGGCGCCTGCTCCTAGCCCGGACTGTTTGGCGCCTGCTCTTAGCTGGGACTGTTTGGCGCCTGCTCTTAGCCGAGACTGTTTGGCGCCCGCAAGCCTTACGAATTCAATATAGTATAAAATAAAATTTCCATATTGTGTTGTAATGCCCAAGACTTTTACTTATTTTCCAACGTCTTCCGGAATTGAGTTAATAAATTTATATTGACTTTCCTCATCAAGGCTGCCAATTGTGACAATTACCGGTGAAATGTAAATGTCAGATTCCTGTACCTTAAATTGAGAATATGCAGATGCACTGGAATAGTAATAATCTTGGCAACGAAAAGGGAATGATTGGTATTTTCATGCAATTTTTAACGTTATGTATCGCTTCATCCGCTTGTAATGTCTAAACACGTTACATTTTATTCTAACCTTACAACAAACATTAGCCCATCATTTGTAAAATTTGCAACGAAAAAGCAATGTTTGCTTGGGTTGTAGCTTGTATTGGGTTGTAACTTTTTGTGTTGTAGCCTGTTGTTGTGTTATCTTGATTGGTAGCTTCTTGTTTGCTTGTCTTGAATTGTAGTTTTTTGCAGAGTTATCGTGGGTTGTAGCCATGGGACTAGTTGAGCTAGTTGACCTCATGGGTCGCCATGACAGGCAAGATGGCATGCACGCCATGTGCCCTTCCTTTCTTTTTCTCCTCGGCGACTCGAGGTGCGGTGAAGAATGCGGAACACCAGCGCCGGTATCGCTTACAGTTACGGAGATCCCGGCCACCTCTGCTTCGGTGCTGCGATTTGCAGTGCATTTTAGTGGATCAAGGAGTGTTGAGTGATGGAATATATCTTGGTCTAATGGAGTGATGGAAGAAGAGTTTGGTGTAATGGAGTGTTGGAATAAAGGTTTGGTGTAATAGAGTGATAGAATAAGGGGTGTAGGTGTAATGGAGTGATAGAATAAGGGTGTAGGTGTAATGGAGTTATGGAATAAGGTGGTTGGTGTAATGGAGTGCTAGAATAAAGTGGTTTGGTGTAATGGAGTGATTGAATAAGGGGTGTGGGTGTAATGGAGCGATGGATCAATGAGTGTTGGCGTAATTGGAAGATAAAACAAAAAGTGTTGGTGTAATGGAGTGACGAAACAATTTGTATGGCTATGATGGAACAAGGATTACATGTATATTGGATTATGGATCATGGTGTATAAGTTTATTTGGGTTATATAATAATGTGTGTTTTTCATTGGAGTAATTGATACATGGATATTACACATGGTGCGCAGGTGTAAGTGTACTTGAGCATTGCTACGTTTTGTATAGGACTATTTCAACAATGTCTAAAGGAGTATTGAAATAATGATTGCAGGCGTAAAGCGGTATTGCCTTAATGGAACAAAGTTTGGTGGTGAACACTAGCCCACCAAAGGAACACTAGCACACCAAAGGAACACTCGCGCACCAAAGGAACACTCATGCAGTAAAGGAACACTCGTACAGTAAAGGAACACTCTTGCAGTAAAGGAACACTCATGCAGTAAAGGAACACTCGTACAGTAAAGGAACACTCTTGCAGTAAAGGAACACTCGTGCAGTAAAGGAACACTCGTGCAGTAAAGGAACACTCTTGCAGTAAAGGAACACTAGCACACCAAAGGAACACTAGCCCACCAAAGGAACACTAGCCCACCAAAGGAACACTAGCACACCAAAGGAACACTAGCACACCAAAGGAACACTCGCGCACCAAAGGAACACTCATGCAGTAAAGGAACACTCGTGCAGTAAAGGAACACTCGTGCAGTAAAGGAACACTCGTGCAGTAAAGGAACACTCGTGCAGCAAAGGAACACTCGTGCAGCAAAGGAACACTTGTGCCGTAAAGGAACACTCGTGCAGCAAAGGAACACTCGTGCAGCAAAGGAACATTCGTGCAGCAAAGGAACACTCGTGCACCAGAGGAACACTCGTGCAGCAAAGGAACGCTCGTGCAGCAAAGGAACACTCGTGCAGTAAAGGAACACTTGTGCAGCAAAGGAACACACCCGGTTTGAGTGCTACGCGGTACAACGGTCCGCTTTGCGACTCCCGTTATTTTGCCCGGCCGGTGCACGGGCAAGGTGCATGTTGCTGCTCCCGAACTTTCCCGTGAATGTACAGTTAACCGACGATCTTGTTTTCTCTTATTCTTACATTTGATACCTACATTTTTTCACAACATGACATTTCAAATGATTACAGTGTATTAAATGAACCAATTGAAATTTGTTTAATTGACATTCCTTTTGCGTCCCGTCACACAATCGCATTATACCATTTCCTATATTTTAATCTTGAAGTTCTGAATAGAAAAATCTTCAATAAAACGCTTGAGATTAGTACGATGTTCATAGTACATTAATTCTATTCTGGATGGTGCCCATAGGAGCGACTTCTGTAGTCGTCAGGCATAGTGACAGATGCAATGGCTGATTTGAATAGTTTTAATTTTTAATTGATCATTCACATTACTCGACATATGCATGAACGATTCTTGCAATTTTTTCATTGTATACCAATTTTGCACTTGTTATTAATAAGGTGTGTTAGATATAGACAAATATTAGAGATCGAGACATATTGGCAATAAAAAATTTCGATGGAGGTACAAGGTTACTTTTGAATTATTCTGTATCCCAAAATTTAATTTTTTTAAGAATCTCCGTATGATGATGATCTTCTGAGGGGAATTCACGTAGAAAATTATTCAGATGCGCGCACGACGTTTGCTTGCACTGCCGCATACACAATCAGGAGGAACGGCCGCTTTGTGAAGCCTGTGTGCATGGTGTAGTAGCTCTGTGTGTCCATCCAGGGCAGCCTGTGTGATGTATTAGCGCTGTGTTCTCATTCAACGCTGTGTGTAGAAGCAACTCACAAAATATTTATGTAACTAATAAAAGTCTTCATGATTTCATTCTGAAGTTTTTCAAAAGTCTTAACCATGGGAATGATTCATTAGGTTAACCAAGCTTGGGGCTGAGTAACGTGTAAATCTAGTGTTGGTATTGAATATTATTTCTGATTCATTAACTGATATTTTTTCCAAGTTCATCTAAATCCTATATATTATCGTCGATCCACAAATCGTTTGGATAATTTTACGATTTATCAATCAGCGTGAAATAAAGATCTTAATCGTGTAGGTACGCAGCCTTGGCATTCCTCTGAACGAAAAATTCAATAATCGAGTGAATGAAAAATTTGTTTATATAAGCTTTTCTGTGGTATGTAAAATTAATTTTAACTTTCTACTTATCTATTTAGTATGTTTAAATTATATTATCAAGACCCATAATCATAATTTAAAATATAACTCATTTATTCACTTCTGAATGAGCACATTATCCTCTAAATTTCATTCTGAACACAAAGTTCAAAATTAAGAGCTTCGGGTGACTACACAAGAAATATATCGATGTTGTTCCTGTGTTGAACAACTTTTATAACATTACGAACATGTTATATATTTATTCTGTAATAAGTATATGTCTTAAAAAGCTGCTGAAGGTGGCTGAGGATGTCAAGATCTAAAGGTCAGCAATTCAGAGGGTGAGAGAGAGAGAAAGTTGGGACGGCGGGGGATCTGAACTATAATGTTCTACTGCACCCAGACGTACAACTTCAACCTTATGCTGCTGGGTGTAGCGCTGAACTATAATGTTGTACTGCAGCCAGACGTACAACTTCAACCTTATGCTGCTGATGCTGGGTGTAGCGCTGAACTATAATGTTGTACTGCACCCAGACGTATAACTTCAACCTTATGCTGCTGGGTGTAGCGCTGAACTATAATGTTGTACCGCACCCAGACGTACAACTTCAACCTTATGCTGCGGGGTGCTGCAGTAAGAAGTCGAGTATAGAAAGCAAGAAGTACGAGTAGGAAAAAATGAGGTGTCATGAAGTATAGGTAGGACTGAATTATCGGTTGAAGGGAATTCAGGATTAGATGGAATGTAGCTACGAGGGAAGTAGGAAATAAGTAACTGGAAGAATCGTTTCCTAAGAGGGAAGTTGGGTGCTAATATTAAAAGAACAGAGAAAAGTTTAGAAATTGAGTAAGAGTTAGGTATGGAGGTACAGGTTGTATAGAACTTTAAGCAGGCGGTAGTATATATAATCAATTGATATAGGTGAAGGAATTTAATGTTGAGTTCTGACCTGCTACGAGCAGCAGCAGCAGCAGCGATAGTCCTGAGATGGTGGCCATCTTGAAGTCTCCTCCTGGCACCTGCAATAATATGAGTATTTATTACAACCAGTAATTAATAAAGCAATTTTAAATTAATTTGATGCAGGAGGTAGGCATTAATAATCGCCAACAAATAATCACAGACACAATTATGCAAAAAATAAACTCTAGGAATTTTTTTATGAGTTTTACTTGTGTTTATTTTCATTCATTTGTTTCATAATCCTATCACTAAGAAAAAAAATTAGGCATAAAATACAATATTATTGATATGTGCTCCATTTAATAAACGATCCAATGAATTAAGAGATGTCCAGCAGAATGTTTAGAACGCGACACTATTATATATTTTCTCAGCTGATATTTTTCACTAAATAGTTCTTCAACATCCGTTATTTTCAAGCCAATATAAATCTACTAATAAAATATATAAATCTGCAGTTTAATTTTCTAATTCTGTCACAATTGTTTATCATATTAACCGAAGAACCATTTTTAAAGGAAGTATATGAACAGAACCGAACATGAAATTATCGATATTACAATATGCCCATATAAATATTATATTTTAGAAATGTATCAAAAATATGGAAAATATTCAAGAAACAAAATAATGGTAGACAGAATCATCCTATTTGCCTGATAAAAATAAAAAATAAAATGATTAATTGAAAGTTCGAGGAGGAAAAACTCGTCTCGAAAAAAATATTCAAATAATGTGAATGACCAGGTAAACTCTGCAGCCAAACTCAATTCATAAAAAGATTTGCTTGAAAAAATTCATCGTAGAGACTAAAAAACGCACGTAAATCAAGCATCGAACTGTCACTGGCGCTCCAGTAAAGTTCAAACTCTTAAAAACTGAACATAACAGAGTTTTTTTATGGATATTCCAGCCTGTTTTATGTGCCTGAAGACATCGATCGAACAACGGACGTTTTCCATCGCTCCTAGCGGTAATTTTAGCCACACTGAGCCTTAAAATTTACCGTGGCACCAGAATTGAATTTTTTGTATCTTCTACACTTTTATGAATTTTTCTGCTGGATTTGAGTGAGGAATTTATGCAAACGTTTTATACAAAATTAAACGTTTATTATTCTGTAACTGTAGAATTATAGTAGATAATTTGTTCAGTAAATTAGAAAATTTAGCCTTCATGAAAGTCATGTATATAAGTCTATAATTTTCATGCTTCAATTTTACAATAACATTTGGAAAATATTTTTAACCACTAAGAAATAATCAGGATCAAAACTCCTAGCAGGTAGTGCAATTTTGCTTTAAAAAAAGGAAGTGCGGTGGTAAAAAAATTCCTCATTTACAATTGATTATAATCATCTTCCTACACGAGAAATAAATGTCGATGTGAATGATGCCTATATGGCCCACCTTTTGAAAATGAAACGTTACTAAAACAGTTCAAGCAGATCATTCAAATAACAATTAAGCATGCAAGCCACATGTAAATTTCTCATTTATTGGAATAAATAAATTGATTACTCTTCCCATCCAAATTTATGCATGTTTTCAGGCCAAGGCAGCCAAGATAAATAAGTATTAAATTCTGGAGTGCATCGCCAGAGGCTGTTGCACGGCAAGCTAATTCGAGCATCCATTTTAGTGCAGCGGCTCAAGCCAACAGCTTATACAGCGAACCAGTTCATAAACAAATGCTATTAAAACTACTGTTATAAGGAGCTGCTGGGATGCAGCTGCTGTTCGCATCTCCGTAAAAACAACGACAATTATGAACACAGTTAAGCCAACTCTTGGAATTCAAAACTGATTAAAATAACTGTTAATAATACTGATGAGAAGGCGATGAAATCACTTAAACAATAACTACAATTTAAACTACCGGTATATCTGTAATCTTCATTCACGAGTACCTACTAGAGCAACTGGAACTCATCATATTTGATTTACACGCAAGTTGATTTTATACGGGTAATGAAAGTCAGGTGATCGCTGAAAACATATTTTAAGTTATGTTTTCTTAAATATATAGCAATATCTATGAACAAATAAAAAATGTCGCGAGCATAATAACAATTATCGTATTTTTGCACTTGAATGAGTCAAGTTCTGCAATTTTCATTTCATTTTAAAAAATCGTCATTTTTGTCTGCGTGTTTGATATTAAATTATTTCGCAATGAATATGATTAATTGTTTTAAATGTTCCTGATTCATCCAAGCATGGATTATATTTAAGGAAGAAAAACAAGTTCATCTATCAAAATGAGGTAATAGTGACTCATGGTCACAGTCACTCAAATGCCATGGTTTTTTTAAAAACTTGTCGGCAGGCCTACAACTTTTTTAGAAAAGTTAATTTCTCGAACCCATGCCTCAGGAATTCATGGCTTCAAAAACTGGAAAAAAACTTCATCTAAGCCTGAAAATGTGTCTCCATTTACAAGGACTTCTAGCAGTGGACGCGACGACATCAATTGTCGCCAGGGAACCTTTATTGCCACAAGAACGGAGGCAAAGCCTTGGCATATTCCGCAAAAATTCACCGTTGCCGGCGACGAAGGCAAAATCCGTTACCATGCGATCGAGATATGAACGATCAAGCTCGCAATTTATATATGTGAAAGCGATTATAAAAATAAATGGTAGATATATTCAACTGTTCTTTGGCGCAGTAATACAGAACGAAATAAAGACTTTCACTAAAATTGCTGGAAGATTTTCTTTACTGTTATTGATAAAATTTATTGGATTTGAAGTGGATTAGAAGGCAAACCCGTCGTTTATACATTCCTTGCCAAATGGAACATGTAGTCCATGTGAGTTTTTTACCTCCATCATTGATCAAAAAATATAACTCAGTACTCAGTACTCAGTGCAGTGAGTGACAGAGAGCGCATTTTCTCGTCCACGAAAACATGAAGTCACGGACGGACAGGCAGACGGACAGACGGATATGGCGAGCACAATAGTGCATTTTGTCATAAATGAGAAAATGCACTAAAAAGTATTGTTCACACATAGCTGTGAATGATATTACTACGTTTGTCTCTTTAATTTAGTTCAGGTCGTTCTGAGATCTTATAAAATTTTACTCTTCAAATTCAGCACCGTCTTAGTAATGTCTTGTGATTCTACCAAAAAAAATCAATTTTAGTTAACGTTCCGATGCGGTGGGTTTTGTTCACATTCAATCGACCAGACGAGCAATGGCCAGTAATATGAGCCTACGCTTTAAACTCGTAAACAAACACAGAAACAAAAACACGTACAAATTCACTGGAATGTATAATTGATATGAATCTCATCTATTTCTAAAATTAGATATTTTTTCATATATGAGCTGCACCTCAATAACTTCCGATTCGCATCCGAAAATATTGAAATTGTTGAATTTACACGGCAAGCAGTAACTCAACTAGGTTTTCAGCATTATGGTTGCGACATTAAATTGCATAACGTAAAGCCATATAGGATTTGTATTTCGTTCGTTTAGATTATATAGGTTCACGTGATCAAAATATCACCTCCACTGCAACAATAGATCAGTAACGTCTATAAAAGTGTATCCAGTTTTTGCCTTATCCATCGCATGGGTGGCCTTACCTAGTTCCTGGACACATGCAATCTGAACACTAGAAGGTGAGCAGGGTTATCTTGGACAAAACAATGTGCAAAGGGATAATATCAACTGAATGCAGTGCAGCAGGGTTATTTTATACAGAATAGAGTAGAGCAGCGAGGTATGAAATTCCTGTGGAGTTACATTACAGAGAACGATGCCTTGAGGAGCTACATTAGAGAGCACGACGAGTAGCCGAGTTACATTAGAAATAATGAATTACAACTGAGGTACATAAGAAATAATGAATTGCAGCTGAGTTACATTAGAGAGAATGAATATATCCGGATGCGAGGACCGGTTTGCATAGAGTATCATTAGAAAGTTATCATCTGCCTGAGTTACATTAGAAATAATGAATTACAGCTGAGTTATATTAGAGAGAATGATGTGCTGCAGAGTTGGTTGGGGCAGAACGAATAATTGCATGTTTGCAATAGCAGGATACAGAGCTGCAGGGCAACAATTTTCAAGACAAGATGACATTGAAATTTAAAATGGTTGAAACTTTATCTCATAGACCGTAAAAACCCTTTCACAAGACCAGAATGTTTTTTTTCTGAATGCATCTTGGATTAAAATTCAAGCTTTTATGCCTCTATTTTTCTATAGTGAAACAATCCATCAGAAGAATATCAGTGTCAGTTGATAGAAAGTTAATGAATAATCGCTATGCGAATCTCTGTCGGCTGGTCATTGTATATTTTAAGACAATAGTTTTCTAAAGGTATTAATTGGTTCGCAATTCAGTGAAAACTATTAAACTAACTGCAAGGAGAGTATCAAAAGTGAAAGAATTATTAACTAATGTTTATAGTTTTAGTAGAACGCTAAATGTCAAAGTATTAATTTAGTTTAACAAAGAAATCATCATCACGGGAATCTCAATGTATAGTCTTGATATATTTTTCTCAGAATGAATTCAAGGGTAAAACTACATGGTATCCATTTTTATCAAAAAGCCTTAACCACTGGATTAATTAATTTTCTCGAAGAGTTTCCAGCGAGAAAAATCTTTTCAGTAATTTGACGGTAAGTGAAATAGTTCCCCTTAAATACAAACTATCTCGTAAGTCGGAAATGAATGCTTTCGGCTGTAACAATTCAGCTGAGAATGAGATGATATCCTGATGATGAGGCATATGTTTACCACAAACTTAACGATTATCACCATAGCAAGGTTAGCGTTGGAACTGTTACAGTGGCAGCAAGCTCAGTTATGCAGGATAAACAGGGTTTGACCATAAAGCTAAGTCCTTGATATTTGCTCCACAGAACGCAGGCAAGGACAGCTATCGCTTACGGAATCTTGACCAACACTTCTGGCAACTTTGAGTGTTTGTAAACAGTTTGAAGAATATTAGTTTTCCGCAAATTATCAAGTCCAGTTATAAAATATTTCGTTTTACATTCTAAGGAAATAAGATAGCAATTATTGG